TTGATTACCTGTGTGACCAAGATCAAGCCACTTAAGTACTCTAAACCTACTCTCTTATCTCTAAAATGGGCATAATTAATAACTAACTCGCTGGATGGTTTTGAGAGTTAAAGAAAAAGTGACACACATAAAACACTTATCAAAGTGCCTGGCCCATAGGCACATGATAAATAGGTAACAGATGTTGGTTTCCCTCCCCCTTAAAAGAAGAATTGTTTACTACCATCTGATGAAGGAAGAAGGGCATCTAAGTTCAGGAAGAACATAAGCAAATGGGGAGGAAACCACCCATGTTTTGCATTCAAAAATTATGTATTAAGTGTCGATTGTGTGCCAGCCATTGTTCTGGATACTGGCTGTACAAAAGTGAGTAAAGCAGACAGAAAAAGCCCTCTATTTGTGTAACCGACTTTCTAGTATAGAGAGGTGTACGATAAGTAAATAAATTGAGTACACAGTTTATTTGAGATAATTGCTATGGAGAGAAATAATAGGGAGTAGGTGAGAGGTGTTGGGAGAGCAGACTGCAATTTTAGATAGAGTGGCTAAGAAAGACATAATAATTAAGTGACTTTTATAGCTCTTGACAGAGAGAAGGAACATTTATTGCCTACCTAGTATGTTCTAGCATCCTCCTAGGTACCCTGGATTAAAAATAATAATAATAATAAAACGTCATCTCTACCCTTAAAAGAGTTTACATTGACTGGAAGAAACAACTATGTTGAAATGTTTATAGTGAAGGAACAGAGTAAAAGAAGGTATTAATTACTCCTGAGATAGAGAAATCTTTAGAAAGGAGATGGTAGTCGCATAGTCTTGAAATATGAATAGATATTCACCAGGCACGTAGAAAAAAAGGAGGGAGAAGGAAAGAGAGTCTAGAGAGAGAATAAGGTGTACGGAAGCACAGTGGTATGACACTGCATGGTATGTTCAAGTAATTGTAAAGAGACTGAAGAGAAGGGTATGAAGCAGAGAACAGGATAGAAAGATAGGCAAGGGTGAGCTCAAGAAGGGCCTTATATGCAAAACCAAGAAGTTTGTATGCTTTTTTAGTAGATGACAGGAACCTTTGCAATGGAAACTTTGAATAGATTTAAATTATTTTATTCACATATATATACTATAACATATTCCATTCATAAATGTATGGAGATATAATCTAAAATATCCCATTTATATATGTTTTGTTATATGAATAACTTATAATTATGAAATTTATAATTAAAATTAATAAACTGTTTAATTTACTATGACAAAATTAAACATTTGAAAAGTAACATCTGTGCGCAGAGGTTAAATTGACTGAAATTGTTTGGTTTAGAGAACAGGACACATGAGAAGGGAACTCTCACTCTGTGAGAGGTGGTTATACAGAAGATAGTGGTCAGTTATTTTCAGTTTCCACTTAGGACAGTGCTAGAAGAAATAGGATTACATCTCAGCAGAAGGGAAAATTACCCACAGAAGGGGTCCTTCACAGAAAGATTGAGTGTGACTGACATAGATGATTAAAATGTTGTCTCAGGTTCTCAGGCTAGTGTGCTGGTTTCTGTGTGCTCAAACTGCCTGATTTCAAAGACAGGGCAAAGACCGCAGATTTTTAGGCTTGAATGAGAGTATTTGAAATAAAAAAAAAAACATCTTTTACATGGCAGTTAGTTCAGATATTTTGCTGTCTGCCTAACTAAAGTTTTGGAAATGTATTTGAGCACATCAAATAAAAATATTACCTTTCATAATACAGTACTCATTTATTAGAAAAAAGAGAAATGATCAAAATTTGCTATAGAAATAGGTGTTGTTCTGTTAAAGATATTTTGTATTCATGTACCATTTCAGGAAGTTATTAAAGATTCGGTAGATACAATTAGTACAAATTCAGTTATTAATCTTTATGTGTGACCTTCATTGGTCAGATGATTACAATTAAAGTTGCTACATGGTTTATTCACTGATGGCACTTTATCAGTGAATATAGTGAATTACTCTTTTGTTGTTTTCATTGATAACCCAGCTTGTTAAAATATTATAAAATGTTTTGAAATTTGTCACAGATTTTCGATTTCTGGAACTGCTGTTTGTGTTTTTATTTTTTTAAAATATATACAAGACAGAGGATTGTAGGGTAACCATTTTGTTCAGCCTTTTGCATCTTATAAAGAGAAGTCCTATATCTCTCATACCCCTGCCTAACTGTGGCTGGTGAGAAGGAGAGAGGGAAAGCACAGGCAGTTATGCAAAAAGGCACTTGACTCCTGGTTTGAGCAAACCTTGAAATGCTTATAGTATAGTCACCACTGAGCCTTAAATAATCTGGACAACTATTGTTGGAATATATGATGTTAATATAAAATTAACATAATTTCTAGCTAACCAGATATTAAGTAGAAATCAATTTTATTTCTTAATAAAGTTACCCAAATACTTTGGAAGTGATTTTGCACAAGCTCAGAATAAATTACTTTTATACCACCCCAAGAGATGTATGTATCCAACTAGTACACTTGGAAGAGCAAATTATTGGATAAATGCCATTAGCCATTAGAATTGATGAAGGCACATGTTCTTAGTTGCTATATATGCTGACTTTGAACACTGTAGGTCCTGAGAAAGAGTCAATGGCTAATGTGTGAATGGTGTAGATGCAGTAAGAGAGACTGAAGTCATGATAATACAAAGTAAATATACATTAATAAGTAAATATTCTTTCCCTTTATATTTCAATATTTTTTTAAAATTTTAAAATGGTCTAAGATTCATACACATAGAGAAAAATCAAAAAGAACACGTCTTTGACATGGTTATTCTCTGCTATTTTGGAACCTTAAAACGGACTCTTCGTGTGAGGCTATTTAAAAAATAAATATTACAACATAGGTTTCACAATTTGTCTCCCATGCCAACTAGGATATTTCTCAGCTTGGTAGGACAGGTTCTTGGCCATGTTTGCCCATGCTTTGAAGGGAATATTACAGTTTTAAAAATGTACATGCATTCTCTGTCTATAACTCTTTCTGATTTGGACGAGGATACCAAGATATGTATTTAACTGAAATGTTATACTTTATCTTTTTTAAATGTAACCATGGACTCTACTAAATTTCTTTATAGAAAAATTAATAGATGTGATTCTGAATAAATATTTATCAATTAAAAACAACTTTTGAAAAATAAGAACTCATAAGTGTGCATGTCGAAAGTTGGAGTTTTAAATCATCTATAAAATTGACATACGAGTACAATGCTGTTTTTCTTTTTTTGTGTTTTCCTTTCTAGTATTGGCTATGTGCATTTAAAAAGCATATAATATACTTGTGCAATTTCCTTCTGAAAAATTAGGTGGGTTTTTGTTGTGTGTGTGTGTGTGTGTGTGTATTTGTCATCACAAAGTTCATAAAATATAGATCAATTTCCTTTCTCTTTGGAAGATGTAGCTTCAATTTTCCCTATGCACCTGATGTTTGTAAAATTTAGGAATTCAAGAAATCTGTAAGAGAAAAAAGAAAATGTTAATTTTCTTATTATTTGGAATATCCAGCATACTCTGAAAACGGTACATTTTGTGAACATATAACACTGTAATCCCAGGTAAAGACTTCTATTTGGAAAGTGAACCTCCCATTGATTTCTCTACAGCTGCAAGTCTTACTTAAGACAAATTGCCCTTGAATATTTTGTAGATTTTTGTTCTTATAGCTTGTCCTTGAATTATGTCATTTCAACCTTGTAGTCTTTAAAAGTGTTTGTGGATCAGCATGATAATGCTAAATTTTAAATATTTTACCTATGTAGGATAAAGTAATCCCAGAAATTCTAAAATAAATAATTGGGACCACTTGAACTATTAACATTATGCTCCCCGTGGCTGTTTCTTTTGAGGCTTGTGACTAATATTTCTTTTAAGTTGTTCATATCATTTGGCCATGAACAGTTGTTAAAAAGTTGTAGCACAAATCAGAGTCAGTATGGGCCTGATTGATTAAATATCTTTTTTGTTGTTGTTGTTCTTAGTCACTAAAACAATGAGGATTAAATTACTCTGTAATTACCTAAATATCCTCCACAGCCTTTTCATAAACCTGTTTGTGAAGAATACTCATTTATTCTAAACAGAGTAATCCTTAAAGCTAAAAACCCCGAATCAGTATGAACATCAGTAGACAAACCCATCATCTAAGGATTATAGAATAAAAGCATCGAATAGAATGAGAAAACTTGATACTTTATGCCATATTTACCCTTTGTTTTTCAGTAAATCCTGATTTCATTTCCAGCTTAGTCTAGTATGAGAGTTATATTAAATAAAACACTTAGATTCCCATCATAGTTTTTTTTGTCCTATACTTTAAAGATTTTTATCATTCTAACTGTAGTATCTCTTTTCTAGTGTCTTTGAAAAGGAAATACAGTATGTAAGCAGAGAAATAAACTTTGTCATATTATCACGACTCTGTGGTCAGATTCTCTTTATAAATCCACCTAAGAAGTTATCAGTTATTCTTTTTTGATGGCCCATGCAAATAAAAGAGGGTTAAAATGTGCTTATTCTTTTACATTAATTTGTACCAGTGATGGCTAAAAAGAAATATAACCTCACAAGCAAATCAGCTTTTAAGAATATATTTCTGTAATAAAGCAAAGAGGAGAATGCTGATAACAAGAGCACACATTAATTTGTATTCTTATTATCAATACTTAAATGAATACTTTTTTCTCATGAAATGAATTATTCATTTTGCCATAATAATTTAGACATTGTAAAAAATATAGATTCAAAGTTAATTTTTAATGTTTTTTTGGTCGTCCTTCTCACTTTTAAAATAGGGAGTTCATTTTAAAATCCAGAGCATTGTTACTAGATCCCATTAGAACCCTACCCCAAACTTTTCTTTAATTAGTTATAATGAATTGAGTTCATTCATTCATTCATTCTACTTTTTTAAGAAAAAAAAGTCTATATTTGCATTACTAAAAATGTTGTCATTTCATTGCAGATCAGAGATACTAAATCAGCAGATCAAAAGACAACCCTCTTGCATTTTCTTGCTGAAATTTGTGAGGAAAAATACCGGGATATTCTGAAATTTCCTGAAGAACTGGAACACGTAGAAAGTGCAAGCAAAGGTAATTGATTTTTAACTGCGTTCAGACTCTTCCTTGCCTAAGTATTATATTCTAAATGGTAGGATTAAGCAATCTATAAACATTAATCAAATTTTTTGTTTCTTTACTGATATAAGAAAAGCAAGGAAATAGTTTCTATTGGCTTATATTTGACAGCATAGTGTGTTTTAATGACCTGTTTTTAACTTTATTTTTTTTTAACACTGCTAGGTTTTGAAGCTATCAGATCTCTGATCAGATAGTATGTTCATTCACTCATTTCATAAACACTATATTTGCAAAGGAGCCATACTGTGGGGCTCTTGATGGTATCAAAATGAGTGTGAGACAGTCTTTACTCAAGTGTGTTTAAAATCTAGAAGATAAGAAAAGACATGTATACAAATACTTTATAAAAGAAGCATCAATATGAGAAGTGCTGCACAGAAAGATAATATAATGTAGTTTAGATGAGAAAGTATTTTGAAATGGGCAGATAAGAGAAGGCTTCATGGAAGAGGTAAAAAGGGTGAAGTATGAGGACAAGATTTTTACAGACGTGGAAAAGGGCAAGCTTTTCAGAGAGCAAACAATATGAGCAAGGCCCAGTGAGCAAGGCAGAACGTGTTAGGGCAGGTGAAAACATGGTTGACTATAAGGCTGGAGCGGTAAGGTGGTCATCTCAGAGATTTTGGTGTCATGCTAAGCAGTCTGATCTTAATGTAGTAGATAGCAGGGAGTTATTGAAGGACTAGAATGGGCAGGACTTGCACTAGTGAGAAACTGGGGAAGAGGAACAAAAACGTCTCCAAGATTGTAATTCAAGTTAATTAACTTTGTTGGTTAGTGAATGTTGTCTACTCTTGTAAGAAGTTGAAAAGTTAAAGAAAGGAGGATTAAAGAAACATTTTTGAAGGTGAGATTATATATTTGGAGAAGTATATTTTCTCTCTTAAATAAGAAAATTATGCCATAAATCTCATATTTGAAATTGTGCTGTAGTAATTCCATTTCTGTGTAACTCTGAGGACTTTCAGTAAGGACTCAAAAGCATATACATTTTCCAAGTTTATTGCAATGCATATAAATCTGTTAGTGTCCTTTGAAGGAGAAAACAGTGTGTCTATAAAGCTTAAAATATAGTTTGTGTAATATTGTTTAGTGATCATCTCTGCTCGTCTGGTATTGCCAATCAAATCCTCAACACATTGCTTTAACTTAATCCAATGTGTCGCATTTTGTGGTCCAAGGAACAGAATAACACTAGGAGACAAACTATAACTCCACAGTACTATTTATTTGCTTTCTTTTTTAACAAAAACTTTTATAATACAATGGATAATTATACTCACTATAATAGCAGCTTTCTAGCAATTGCTTTTCTAAAGAACTTCTATTTCTTGGTCCTTGGATTTAAAACACATACTTTTGTGACTAGAGGCATGTTTACCAACAATGCAGCTAATGTGGAATAAGAGCAACATGTAGGAAATTTGTATTATAATTTGAAACCTGAGAACTGTTACGAATAAGACCACTTCTGAAATTAGTTCATTTCAGGGCTATTATCGCTTTTTCATTGCCCTCTACCGGATTTGTTTTTCTAAATTTTATTTGTTCAGCATGTAGATTCAATTTCAGAAGGATTTTGAGAGGAAGCATATCAAGGATATGTTTAAATAAATAATGGTCTGTCAATTTTACAATAATTTTTAATTCTTTCCTCGAGTATACTTTACATGAATATATCTGATAAACATTTTTAATCAAAATAATCTGGAATAACTGTAATGAAATCTGTAATGAAGCTAATATCAGCTTTGGATTTTAAGTCTAAATACCTGTTAATCTGTATCTATATCTGTATATCTATATCTATGTCTTTTACAGACACTTTTAGCCACTACTGCTATTGATGAAGCTAGTGTACAGAACACATCCCTTTGAGTTAGATATTATAAAGTTTTAATCTTAGCTCTATTACTTCTCAATTCTATAAGTAATTGAGCTAGTAATTTAAACTTTCAAGTTTTTGTCTTCATATGCATAAAATGGGAATGATGGTAACATTAAGATTAAATGAATTAATATGTTCAAAGTATGCAGTAAAAGGTACGGCATATAGTAAACATTCAGTTGTTGCTATACCACTATCTTTATTATTATTATCAGTAGTAGTAGTAGTAGTAGTAGTAGTAGTAGTAGTAGTAGTAGTAGTAATTGATATACTACTATGAATATTATAGTTGTTGTTATTGCCTTATTAGAGGGGAATCATCACAATCATAAAAATACCTTAGTTCTTCCAGTCTCAGCTAAGTATGTATTATATTCAGTTCCATTTGTTTCCTGTGTCTGGGCTTTTGGTAAATCCTTTCTTATTTTTTCTTTTCCAATATTACCAACGTCTTCCTTTCTATCCAGTTCAAGAGCAAAATCCCTCTGTTGTATTTTGATTATGTCTGTTTTTGTGTATTATTTCCGCCAGTGTATTCAAAAGACTTTTGCCAGAAATCCTCTTCTGATCTCACTGTTTGGGCCACATCCATCCTCATTCTCACATTATTTTTACTGTTCTTTTTCTTTTTTATGAAATTCAGACTCAGAGTTCTCAACTCAAAAAGTTCTTAAGTACATTCCGCCTGCTTGCATCACTCTTTCATTTCCTTCTAGCTCTCATTTCAGTGTGCTCAGATATATTTTCTCTTGAGCTGTTTTTATTCCTTTCTAATAATCTTGTCTCCATGTAAGATTTCATGCTGCATCCCATGCCTCAAAATCTCACCTGCCCTGTCCTCTAAGACAACTGACTATCATTTGTCAGATCATTGTTCAGAATCCGTATTCTTTTTTCCCCTAATATTTTGCTACTAAAGCCTTAGGAGAAAATGCTTTTGAATTTAGTCTGCAGGGAAAAAAAGAACATGGTGAAACAAGCCAATTACCTTTTACTTAGAGTTAAATACTTTTCCTTGGTATTGAGTCTAACTTATCCTGTTTGCTTAATATATACTTCCTTCTTGTTTGAATCATATTCTGTCAACTTCAGTAGCATTTTGTATAACACACACACACACACACACACACACACATATACATGTATATATATGTATGTGTTTATGTGTATATATGTATGTGTATGTGTGTATATATATTCCTAGTCCATCAGCAAAAATGAAAAGAGATCAAAACTATATAATTCATTTTATTTGATGATGAACTATCTCCTTGTGAAATAATTGTCTTCAAAAGGGAAAACAAAAAAGTACCTTTCTTTTTAAACTGGAGGGATATAGATAAGATGAAACTAATTCAGTTAATGACTGAATTATATAACTCCTATTTAAAGAACAATTTTATGACTACTCCCTTTTTCCTCTGTTGTTTTATTAATAGAACCCAAGTACCTTATTTTGGTAAAGTGAGAATCTTTTCTGTCTGCTATGGCAAATAACACATTTCAGTTCATCACTAAAGTCATAGACCTCAATTAACTGACGAAGACAAATATTATTCTGATGTGAAAGGAAAACTGAAGGTAGAAACTATGTGAGATCCATGGAAAATTTTATTTTATAATTGCCTTTATTCCTTGTAAAGCTGAGCTTCTAAAATTGTGTGCATCTTGGAAAAAGCAAAGCTATGGTATAAACTTAGCACATTTTCCTAGAGCTCTGCAACTCAAAGATGGTAGGGAAAAACACATCATTTCTACATTCAAACAGATATATATTATGAAGTAGAATGCAAAATCCACATTAATTTTTAAAATATAAACAATGATTTCAAAGAAATTTCACACTAGCAGCAGATCCCTAGAGGTTTTCAATCTTCTCTTCTATTAAGGATACTTGGGTGGGAAAATTTATGAAGCATAGTCTAAAGAATTACAGAGTGGTTTTGTTTTGGTTTGGTTTCACTTGTTTATCTATTTAGTTATTATTTCAGAGAGTGGAGAGGCAAGCAGGAAGGATGATGGAGGAGAGTGCCTAACTCTCTTCTAAGCAGATATTCTCATAGCTCTTATAAATTTCAGAATCAAGCTATACAATGTAATTTTCTTACCAGCGAAATTAACGAAATAATGTTGCTCTGGTCATTTTATTTGAGGTTAAATTATAAATCTGCAAGTCCTCTCATTCATGTTTGACATACCCATGGGTCTTTAGAAACAAACAAACAAAAAAATGGTTGCTATAGAGACTCCGATGCCTTTACAATATTGAAAATACATTTGATAAACCACAGTTACCATTTCCCCAATGATTAATTTTAAAGATTATATGTATGTGTGTATATAATTGTATATTATAGATATATGTTGTATAAAGCATCGCTAGTTACTAGACCTATTTTATAAATGCTTTATTGTTTTTCCCTCCTTGTGGCTATCGCTTTAACTTTCAGTTTTGAGGATTTTTATGGTTTGATTTAAAACCTCTAGTGTTTTATAGATCAGCTCCAGGGATTAAACCAAAGGGGTTCGTAAAGTTTAATTAAAACTATTCCACTCAACAGGGAAAAATTATATTAATGTATTTGAAGGCATTATTCATCCTAAGGTTTTACATAAAACCGAAATGGGTTTCATATCAGTTAAATTAGTACCATCCTACAAAATAAAAACTGGTTAAGTTTCCTATAAACAATGTTAATTTCTTATGAATTAAGTCAATTATTGTACATTTTATTGGCCAACTATACCTTTTGATATCTGCCATCTTTCCATGTCATAATATATAACTCCGATTACCTATTTATCCACTCTGACTTCTTCACAGGATTAGTAATGAAAAAAGTTCAGATTAGAGAACATACTGTAGGGGAAAAAAAGTCTATGAAATAAAAAGGAAAAAGTAAAATAATAGAGTAAAAAAGTTGGGGAGCAAAAATAACAAAACAGTGTTTTCTGAAACTCCAGAGCTGGTAGAAACTTCAGAGATCATCTAGTCCCTGTTAAAAGGGACCCCAGATGGCATTTAGTCCAAATTTATCATTTTACAATTGAATAAATTGAGGCC